GAGAGAGAGAGAGAGAGAGAGAGAGAGAGAGAGAGAGAGAGAGAGAGTGTTGGGTGGGTTTATTCTCCAAACTCTCTGTTGGCAGCCCTCGATGGAAAGCCTCTCTCCAGAGTCTCAACAAATACAGAGTGGGGGGATGTCTGGTCTGTTGGAGAGGGCCAACCTAGTCCATAAGCCAGCCCTGAATCCAGGCTCATCCCCTGCCTGGAATCCTCCCTATCATCACAGGGTGAAGGACAAATGAGTGGGGACCCAGGGGGGGTCTTGGCAGGGCCGGGGACCCCAACTCTGGCCTCTGTTTGGCTGCTACCAGGACCTCCTTTGTCTGGCATCAGCCAGCCCAGGGCCCTTTTCTCTGGTGGGACCAACACCTCCTCTCCCACTGGACACTGTTGCCTTAGGACTGGGATTCAGTTTTGAGGTAGCAGGACTCCTTCTCTGTCTTGCAAAGGGGATGGTGTCCTGGCTATAGGAGTTTCAAGCATCTTTCTGCTTGGGGTCCCAGGATGCTGAACCCCACCCACGGGAGGAAGTAAAGCAGGGTGGTGGTCTGAGGGGAGGGGCGTGGAGAGCTGAGTTGTAGGCCCACGCTGCCTGTGTACCATCCAGCATTAAGCACTAAACTTCCCCTGTTTGTCTCTTACTTTGACCCATCAGTATTTCTTGTCTGAAAGAAACACCGTCTGGGCTTAGAAATGGTGAGTCCTTCGGGAGGACCATCTTCCTGTGTACCTGGGTGTTCTTGAACCGTGGGAAGCTCACGATTGCCTTCTCTTTGGTCATCTGTAGCCTGACCTTCACTGATGGGACCGTCCCTTATTCTGTCACAATTCTCTATAAAGATAATAGTTCCAGGAAGGCCCCATCCAACCCCCCTTCAGGCCAGTAATCCAAGCGCACTATTTTGAAAGTCAGAGGAAACAGCTGCTTTTAGGACATATTGAACTTGGCTAAGAAAGTTATCAGCGGCAGTAAATGAGAGGATGAAAGAAGGCTCCGATTAATGAAAGTGGGATCAGCCTGATATCTGTGCTGCCCTAGCTTTGAAAAGCTGTTCATACCTGCTCTGTAGCAGTTTCTGTGAGAAATTAGATATGGAAAGATGTACAAAAGGGAAGAGTGAGCTTAACAAATGTGGCCTCTTTATTGGAAATAGCTTCCAGGAAAAAAGAAATCTTTTGCCCGTGGGTCGACAGCTGAGAATCCATGGACCTTTTGCATTGTTCACAATCTGGCTCAGAGAATAAAAATGATGTATTGGAAAGTAGATGAAACCTCAGTTGCCATTTAGATGGTAGAAAATAAATTTGCTTT